GGTTATTTTTGAATAATTTTTTTGTCTATTGGTGGGTCTTAAAACTCATTTAAAGGATTATCATAGGTACTAACAAAGTCATAGTATATTTGCTTATTAGCAGATTGAAAAATATTTGGGGGGAGGAGGTACATATTTTATTTTTAACAAGCTACTCTAATATTTTTATATTTTTTCTACTTCCCAATATTTTTTTTTCATATAAAATAAATTAAATTATTTGAATATATAATATTTTAAGTAAACAGGTATCGGCTACCAACTTACAAATTGTTACCTAATTTAATTTTAAACTTATATTTTACGTTTCTAGGAACAAGCCGTTAGATCACCGCAAATAGTTAATTTTATAAAAAAATAAAAATGTGGGAAATTCTTTTATCCAACATTACTCATTATTTTAAATAGTTTCCAATCGAAATAAAATAAAATTTTTATTGTTGAAAAAATTACTTTTTTAGAATTGTTATATTCTATTCGTGTAGAAAGAATTTAATACTTTATATTTTTATTTCCATCAGTTTAAATCTCAATGACTAAAAAAATAATTTGTAGTTTTTAAATTAGTTTAATAACTTTATTTTTGTTCTACAGGGAGGGTGAGATACTTTTATCGTCAAACACTTATTATTTTATAATCGATGATGTTATAAAAAATATTTTTATTTTTTTTTGATATAATTTTCTGTCAAAATTAAAAACATATTTTAACGAGTAATTTATGAGTTATAATTATTTAAAAACTAATAAATTTCGATTTTTATGTATCATAATACTCCGAAAAAAAGTCTACTTCACAATATGATATTAATAATATATGCTGTCATTTAAAAAAGTAAAAATTTAAAAATATATTTAAAAAATTTTTTATTTTGACTGGAAATTATGTTAAAAAATATATTTATTAACGTTTATAGGTTATGAAATGAATGTTTGACGATAAAAGTATCTCAACTTCCCTGCAGAACATTCGTTATTACACTAATTAAAAACTACAAATTTTTTTTTTAATCATTAAGATTTAAACCGATAGAAATACAAATATAAAGTATACAATTTCTTATACACGAATAGAATAATACAAACCACCAAAAGCATTTATTTTTATTTTGAATATCTATATAATTATATCATATTGAGTCTCGAAAAAATAATCTTGAATATACTAATCACACCTGCTATATTGCTATTATTTTTAAACCACGCAGTGAAATACCACACCACACGACTAAATAAAAGAATGCTAAATAATTCCGGGAATTTTTAGCCCAGTAAGTGGTACAAGAAAAAAAAACCATAAGTATATAGGTATTCATAACATAACATATTATAGGAGACACCTGAATAATATAAATATGTATGTTCAAAATACAATTTTTAAATGCGAACAATAAATGTAAAAGTTAAATAAAATAAATTACATAAAAGACGATATTTTCACAAAGACTTTATCTTCGATTCAATCGCTTTCACATAAACAGGTCTTGTGTGTTACAAAAAGGTATTGTTATGAATACTACCGTCGTCCTGTGTATACACAGTTCGGGGGTCCTGTTGGAGAACGACTTGTAACTATATATGCTTCAACATTGAAATTTAGAAACAGGTAATAAAACGTCTACCCAAAACCCGACATTACAGTAAAACCTTAACGAAGGTTACATACCACTACGACATAGTCATAACTTATGACTTCAAACTGTTTTCAAAAAATACTTATTTAAATAGGAATGTGGTGTATTACCTAAACAATTTATTTCCCCATATGGGCCATACGGCCATACATAGGTAAATATAATGTGAATAAGATTAGATTAGTATTATTTATGACTAGTGCATATAGATTATTATTTACTATACAATTTCTCCATTTCATCGAAATGTACAAATTAATGGTTTATTTAAACATAATTTAGTAACAGTTCATGATTGGTCCGCATTACATTTTAGTAGATCGTTAAATTAATACATTTGTTTATAAATTATAATATATATTCATTGTACAGGTATAAATTCAATTTATTTTTAATGTTTTAAAAATTAAAACACTATACGTTTATATAGTAATTGATATAATGAGTTAGGTATAAAATACAAGTTTCACATTTATTTTATCTAAAAATGGAAAAAATGTACAAAAAAAAAAAAATAATAAAAAGGGAACTGAATTTAGGGGCGTTGGATAGTGACAAAATATCTGAAGATGTAACCACAACGTTACTACGTTAGTTAGCCGTACATAGCTTAAGAAATGATAGTATTTAATGATTTTACCTTAAAAAATAATATTTTAGAAAAGTATAATAAACACTAAACAGGATGTCTGTGCACTATTCGTTTTCTTTTTGTCACGTCGGCTAAATTAATGTTTTGTGTACTTGTAACAGAATCAGTTTTATACTGTTAGCTTTAATATTATAGTTATTTTATGTATTATTTATCTTATTTTCGTATTATTTGGACAATGTGTAGGCTTTAATTTTAATTTTATAGCGATTAAAAAGCATTTTGAAGTTGTAATATATTACATGCTATTATAACACTCATTAAAATTAAAATATAAATAAAAGCACATTATACGATGCTCTAACTAAATTTTTTTCCTTAAAATTTAGCTATAAGGAGAGCGTGGATTTTTATTCAATTGTATATTTCTTCTTTTTCACTATTTTACATTTTTGTTAGTCATCTTTACGAATCATAGTAATTTGAATCTGATAGTGAAATTTTATTTGTATATTTCTACATAATATTTTTATAAAATTCAAAATGTCGTGCAAAATCAAAATTTTTTTATATACTTTGTATATTTAAGTAATTAATTATTATAAGTTGTTTAATTAGTGAATGTTATATAAATAAAAGACATTTTTTTTTGCATATTTTTATGATTTTTACTGCATATTATATGGCATATTTCAATACTTTCTAGTGCGTAAAAATCCGTGATCTACATAATATATCATATTAATACACTTTAATTTTTAAAAGCAATATCATCAAAATTTATGAAAGTAATTATTTATTTATTGCAAAGCAAAATATTTTGATGAAAAATTCATCTTTTGTGAAACACAATACAGAACAATAATAAATAGTATGATAATAATAAATAATAATAATATAATAAGAGATTTGTATTGGACGTTTTCTACTTAATTCAAAGAGCGAGGAGTAACTCTGGGTTCCATGCAAAAGCTCTTTATTCTAAAATAATCTGTCAAAGGCATGATATTGAGATTTTATCGAAGTCATTAATAATTTAAAATCATTAAAAATTCTTTTTATAAAACCTAATTATTAATTTTTTACAGAAAATTTTTATCTAAATGAGCATGAAAATTTAATTTACAGCCAAACATATCAAAAATCTGATTATTGAAAAGAATAAGGGATTATTAAATGAGTGTAATTATTTAAATATTACTGTATAAAAACTTAATAAATGTACGAGTACTTACTATAGAATGATAATGAATTAGTGAGTTTTAGCTTTTAACCCATTATCATTGGACTAGCTCTTTATAAAAATGTTAAAAATATAATTAGAGAAAACTAGATTGAGAGTGGTTTTTAAATGACCTGGATGAAAGCCATATTAATTATCTTTTACAGTTGATTTAATAAAACTAGTTTTACACTGGGATTAATAAAGCTTGACTATATGGATATAGGTAAATAATAGGCTGTATTGGAATTATTATCATAAGACATTAGTATCAGTGTAGTAGTACAAAAGGTTAAATAAAATTTGTTGATAGATACTTTCATTTAAAGTTTGACAGAAATATGATAATGATGAACTAGTAAAAAAAAATGCATTAGACAGACCATCTGGTTCCACACTCATTAATCACATTTTAATTTAGATATATCTAATTCAATATCAGTCATAAAAGAAACAATTAATTAGGCAGATATGGCAAAATATGCAAGAAAAAAATGTTATTCAAAATTTGAAAAAAAAACAACAAAACATCTAATGTTGTTAATAATAGCATTGATTATAGAATAAATTCTATAATTCTATAATCAATGATAATAGGTAGGTATGTAAAAAAAAAAAAATTGAAAAAATAGTTTAAAAAATAGAACATAATCAATGTTATAGTGTTGATTTTTATTTTGATATTTTAATTTTAAAGTTAGATACCAAGATTTTTAATTTGTAATATGTATATACTCATCTTGCATAAAAATTAAAATAATGATCTAATGAATTATGAAAAAAAAAATTCTATATTACAAGACACTGGTAATTTTCTTACCTAGGTAAATTAATATTATAAATAACAACATATACAAGTGTGGAATCTTCTTAAGTCTTTGTAAACAATGATGACTAAAGACTACTTTATATCTTTATTAATTCTAAGTTAATAAATCATAAATGAACAGGAATTTATTAGGAACCAACAGTTTTATTTGTGCATGCAATAGGGTAACTATTATAAAATAAATTTTATAACTATCAACAACACACACTTTGAGATATAATCTTTATTTCATAAAATATAACTCATTTAGGTCGTAAAAAATAATGAATTGTGAACTAAGTAACTTAACATAATATTAAACAAACATAAAATAATTAAATATCATATTGTTAATTCTTTGTTGAATATTACTTAAAATTTGATTTAACTTTGTTTTTAGGTTTGTGCACATTGTCTTAAGAAATATTTAAAGCATAAAAAAGATCAGAAGAAGAAATTTGATAATATACAAAGTTTATCTTTTAGTAATTTGATCGTTGAATCAGAGCAAAATGAAAATACTAAAAACCACTACAGTAGATATTATAGTACAAAACAAAAATAATATTACTAAGTTATTTAAGAAAATGAAACTTTTAAGCACGACAAAAAAGATAAATGTAAATTGAATGATATTATAATTAATAGTTTAATTAATAAAGTAGAAGTCATGGAAGAATCATATAATTGTAAGTTTTCCAAGTTTTGTCTATCAACAGTAAAACAAAAAAAAACAAATCAAATATGTGTGTGCATTTACCTAAATCTAAACAGAGTTCCTCAAATAAAACATTTCTTCAGAGAAAAACTAAAAATGAAACCAACCAAAGAATAGTTAAAAATGTTCATAAGAAAAGTTCATATAAGAACGGCTATATTGAGAATGTGATAAAACGTATAAATATTAAAAATACCCCAATTGGAGACATAGATAAACTTATAATAATAAAAAAATTAATACGTCAAACACATACCTTACCTTCACCAAAAATTATTCTAAGCCCAAAAAAATATGTTTATCATAAATGTGATTATTCTTGTGTAGAATGGACTGACTACGACCAAAATAAAACAAAACAAATTAATATGTTAGCAATACCAGTATATTTTGGTTTCAAAAGGCATACAACAAATGGATATAGTGTACAAAAAATCGATAACATATTATGAGACTCCTTGTGGAGTTTCTATTCAAAATATAGAAGAAATGATGCATTATCTTAAAACAACTAAAAGCAAAATGACAATCGATCTATTTAATTTTGATAGCTGTGTGAATCCATTAACCAAACATCGAGTTTTAAGGCCCATAAGGTTTTTGGACGATTTATCCGAAGGCTTGGAATTTAGACCAATAACTTGTGTAAATAATATTAATGATGAATTACCACCAAAAATTAACTATATGATTAAGAGACAAGCAACAGTTGGTGTCAATATAAATGTGGATTCTAATTTTCTATGTGGATGTGATTGCACAGATAATTGCCTGGACAAATCAAAATGTGCTTGTTGGCAGAGAACAATAAATGGACTAGGTAATATGCCAAATCTTGAAAAAACCCAAAATTTAGGTTATAACTATCGACGATTGTATGCAAATGTACACACTGGTATCTATGAGTGCAATAACACATGCAAATGTAACAATTTGTGCTTAAATCGTGTTGTACAACAACCGATACTAAACAATTTACAGCTGTTTAAGACAAAGAAAAAAGGTTGGGGGGTACGTTGTTTAAATGATTTACCACGAGGAACTTTTATATGTTGTTACATCGGAAACATATTGAATGAGATTAATGCCACAGAACAAGGTGATTGTTATGGCGATGAATACTTGGCAAATTTAGACTTTATTGAAATAGCTGAGGAATTCAAAGAGGGTTATGAAGAAGAAGCTTTTACAAGTGAACCAGATGATACACCTCAAAAGTTGTCAAAAAAAACTATGGATTTATTAAACAAGCTTACTATGCATGGTAAATTTTTTTTTTCCCAAAAAAATTTATAATTTATGTTTTATATTCAAATTTTTATTTATGTTTTAGATAAGAACTCGGGGACAAACAATGTATTAAAATTTTTTGAGTCTAGAAATATCAAAGTTCAAAACTTTCCTTCAAATAGAAACTGCAATAAGACTGTAGAATCAGTACGAAATTACTATGATACTGGTGATAGTATGTATGCCATAGATGCAAAATATAGCGGCAATATTGGACGATACTTCAATCACTCGTGCACTCCCAATTTATTTGTACAAAATGTATTTGTGGACACATATGATTTACGTTTTCCATGGATATCGTTTTTTTCAAAATGTTACATACCAGCCAGGACAGAGCTTACTTGGGATTATGGTTACAAGATAGGAAGCATACCAGGAAAAAAAGTGGCTTGTTATTGTGATTCAGCTAAATGTAAACGAAGACTTCTCTAAATTATGTGCACCATGCATGTGTTTTTCTTTTTTTGATTATGTAATAATTTTTTTTTAGTTAATTAACAAATAACCAAATAAAACCAAGTATGACATATTATTCTATATTTAATCGCTATTAAAGAAATTTAATTTCAATACATCAAACTTTACTAACAATACAAAAACTTTTAATTTTTAAATATTATTAATTATTATTAGTTGGTTTTAAAGTATTGTTTAGAAATTAATTCTTGATGTTAAGAGCATTTTTATTTAATTGTCTTGAGAAAATCACTTCTTTGGTAAAACATGAATCCAAATTATATATTAAACTGTTTTGATTTTTTTTTATAACAAAATATTGACAATTAAAAAATAATACAATTTTTAATTTATTAATTATACATAGTAATAGAATGTTACATTATTACATTACTGATAATTTTGTAGTCTTTTGATAATTAATTTATCATAAAACAAAATATAAAACTGGAATAAAATATATTAATGAACTATAAATATGCTTTAATACTAAAAACTGCGAAAAAAAAAACATTTTCTTTTGAAGAGTTAACTTATCTCTCAAGTATAATAAAATATAAATCAAAATGTATAAATGTATGAATAAAAAAACCTACAAAATAAATGTAAATAAATAACTGAACTATTGTAAGTGTTATCGCTTAAATAAATAATAGAAATCATATCAAGCAATATTTTAAGTCATCTTTTGATGAACTAAATTTGCTGTATAAAAGTTGCTTATAAAATATTAACGACCTGTGTTATAGCCTGGGAAAAAATACAAAAGTGTTTTAGCCAATAAAGTATTAATGTTCATATGGTAAGTTTTTCCCAATTCAGCTCTACATGATGGGCATTGGTAAACCTCAGATGCAAATGATCTTTTTAAACATCCCTGAAAAAAAAAACCAATAAAAAAAAAATACTAGTTTATAAATATTTATAAAAATAAATACTAAGTCAAAAGCTTACTTTACAAATATTGTGAGCACATTCTAATGTGATTGGTTCAAAAACAATATCTTGACAACATATGCACATGAATGTTTCTTCAACTCTATCCAAAAATGCCTATAAAGGATAATTATATAATAATTAAAAATGTTAGCAAAATTTCGAATACTAAAAATTAAATAGGTACATACTTTTTTACCGAATTTTAACAACTCTTTACAATCATCCCAATATTTTTTATTGACAGCATCAGCCGTGATAAATTCTTCTGCTTCTTTTTCGAGTTTGTACTGCATTTTTGCTTTCTTTTCAGGGCCATTTCCTTCATCTTTTTTTTCTTCTGAATTTCCATCCGATTCATTGTTTTCAGTGCCAGTGTCTTGTAGAGTTCTTTTTCTGTTAGATCCTGGTAATTTTGTATTGTCAAGTCCAGTAGAAGGTATATAATTTTCTGGATACTATTAAAACAACTAAATTAAAAATTTGAATAAATAATTATATGTTTAAACTGTCATTAAACTTACAATTATTTCAAGGCCTAGTTGAGCTATACGCTTTTTGCCTTTTGCTGTCCAAGGTGCTGGAGTAGGATCATCTCTTTTCAATACAAACCGCCATACAACAAAACCAGATATTCCGGTTTCCGGATAATACTTTACGACTTTGTAAAGGCCATCGTAACTTAAAAATAAATTAAAAAGTATATAAAGAAAAGTTTACAGTTGTGTAATTATCAAGTAACAGTGTGATGTTTGGATGCTATTTATTTTACAGATTAATTATATTTAATTTTAAGTATTTCATCAATTTCTATAAATTTTTTAAACATAAATATTCATACCGATTGCCCACTTCAGGCGCATATTTTGAGTGTTTATGAAGTTTATAATTGCGGACAACTCTAACTGGTTTGCCTTTTTTCCAATCCGTTGCTGTTGCTCCTTCCTTATTATTGATTTCTGCATTACAGTTGAGAGCCAAAGCTCTAAAACAAAAATTTTAACTGAGATTGACAGATTTTGAATAAAAAAGTGTACCCTAGATTACCTGTTGTAACGTGTCAATTCTTGGTCACAACTCTGCAGAGCAGTACGTTTGTTACCCGACAGATCTCTACCACCAGAACCGGTATACATGAATTCATCACCATTGTCAACGTCATCTTCATAACCACCACTCAATACAATACTAAACGCTCCTTGATTGTCACGGCCATGTATTCCTCCAACTGGAGGACGATGAATACCACTTTCAGATACCTTCAGAATAAAAAATAAAAAATTGTCTTAAATGCTTCAGGATTTCTCAAAAACTTACTTGAACGCGGAATAACCAAGTCGTGCCAACTTCAACACCAGGAATGGCACCGAAATGATTTGGTGGAACAATGTTACATTTTTTTGTTCTACCGACACATGCCATACCTTTTCCCCAATCTCGTTTAGATGTTGATGCTAATGTCTTTTTTTTTGAAGACTTTAATTTTCCACCTGCCTTTACAATTTCGTTTTCATCATTTTTGCAAGTTGGACAATACCTGATAAAAGTGTTAATAGTAAAAGTAATTGGTATAAATATTTAACGATTTATCATTTGTCACTTACCAATCATCATCTTCTGGAATTTCTGTCAAGGGCGGTGAAAGGCACGTTATATGAAAACCTTCATTACATTCATCGCATAATATTTGTTTTTCCTCGTTTTCCTTACCACCACAAATACTACACCCACAGTGAACACATGATTTTTTAACGTTGTCTTTGCATTTAGTACAGGTCAAAGCTCCAGCTCCTTTTTAAGAAAAAAAAAAACCAATTAATATTTCCTCAACAAGAAAATTTGGTTCAAATTTTTATTCCTACTTTCAACAGAAGGTTTTGTTTGCATCATTGCATCATCTTCTTCTGTCCTCTCTGCAACTAATTTATATGGTTTTATTTTTAAGATATCATCTAGGAACATCAATCGACAGTTGTTCAATACTGCTTTATTCGATCCAAGTATTACATCTCCTATGACTTCACGATTTCGTCTATTAACTGTAATCTGTTTCACTTGTACGTCATACCAATAGCCGCGTTCTTTAGGATGTTCAGTATTAAAATTCATAAGAACTTTATCGTTGATTTTTAATTGATCAAATGGCAAATTATCAGTAGAAAATGGTCTTATATCTTTCAATGTAACTTCAGTGGGTGGGTTTCCAGGGGCTCTAAATAAATATTATCAATTAATACACAAATGTATTTTAAATAAAAACATAAGACATACCCTGCATCCTCTACAAAATAAATTAGTCCATCATATTCTTCTTGATTATCAGAGGAAGTTTGTTCATTTTTTACAGTAATATCTTTTTTTATCTTCACTATTTTACCCATGTACCACACACCATATTCATAATCTCTTAAATCAACATAATCTCCTATTTTAAAATATTTGCTTTCCTCTGAAATATCATCTATATTGTCCTAGAATGGAAAAATAATATAACTTGTGAAAATTTAATCATGATAAAATATTTACTTCTTTTGTTACAGAACTGAAGTCTGTCGAACAACTTTGAATACATGTTTCATCTTTTAAGTTCTTAGAAACCTCCAACACTGATTTTTTAGTAAAGTTAGTTTCAGCTACAGTTGTCATAGTTATCAATTGTATAACATCGTTTATATTAATACTATAATCAAAGAGGTTATACTGATTTTCAAGCTGAAACATACACATAACAATTTAGGAACCTAAAAACTTACTTAACACAGGAAAGCGTAAGTGAAAAGTAAAGAAAAAATTACTATTAAATAGTTTTGATCAATTTTATAACTGTTAGAAAATATTAATCTAAACAAATATAATACCAATTAATGTCAATAAGATAGCATGGCACTGGGGCTGGTAAAAAAATAAAACCATTACGAAAATAAAGTCTTTTTGCCGTTAAAACTACTTTAAATGAAATAACTATTGTTAAAAATAACTTTTATGTTATAGAATATACCTAATACTGATAAATAATTAGGTAGAAATATGTGTCATGTTCTTCAATAGACTGATAATAAAAAACTCTAAACAAATAAATTTAAGGTATCTAGTATACCTAACAAGCACTTTAGAATCAATAATTAATAATAGCTATTTCTATAAGAAAATTTTATTAAATAATTACAGGTCTATTAAAAAAATATGAAAATTATTTTAAAAAGTATAAAGATACACAAAACACTTAACACCTACTACCAGCAAACAAATTTTTTAATGTATAGAGTATTTTTACTTTACATCATAAAAAACAATCCTACTTTAAAAACCAAATATAGATGATTGTGGGGTGGGGAGAGAAGAAAATTGATAAACAGATGATGCCTGTCACCTAAAAATAGTGGTCGTTGCCAAGTATCATTTTTAATTGTTAGCTATTCCAGTAATGTCAATTATTTCCTTTAATAATAAAAAGATTTAATATTTAATTAATACAAAATATCATATTGGTACTTACTTACTAAATAATTTATAATTTAAATAATTGTATTTGTTTTAATGTACAGTTATAAAATGTTAACATTGGCAATGAATCAGTTAAACTGAAAATGTACCATTTTTATTTTGTTGTTTCAGTTTAATCCAATTATATATAATAAGAACCTAATATATTATAATATAATTGATAAATAATAAGTATTTAGAATAAATATAGTAATATTATATTATATTGTTTCTCTAAATTGTTTACACCTTATAATCATATTGTAGATAATTAATTAATATTTGCTAGAATATTTACTTGTATAATTCAAAAAGTAATGATGAAGTTTGATCAATCATGAGTTAAATATAATTTAAAGTAATGGAACGTAAATTGTCTAATCTATATAAGGTTTATTATAATAAAATGGGTATTCTTGTTGTATGCGGTCTACCTCACGTTTCTTCATGTCATATGCGGTCTACCGCACACTTGCTGTCTACCACACATGTTTTTGTACGTCATATCAGTGGCGTAGCAAAAAAATTTGGGCTCCCCCGAAAAAATAAAAAATGGTAACCCTATAACCAAAGGCCCCAAATTATTATGTTCTCCCCCGCAGCGCGGGATCTGCGGACCCTCAATTACGCCACTGCGTCATATGCGGTCTTTAACATACTTTTTATACCTTCGTAATATTTGGCTAACATAATGTTAAAAAGTGCAGTAAATAAACTGAAGAACATTGGATCACGTAGGTATTACAGCACAAATTGAACGTTTACGACTACAGTCACGATTTTGGCAGGATCCAAGTTTTATTATAGCAGGTATTTTATTATTGATATAGAAAATATAAATCACATCGTTAAGATAAAACTTAATCGTCATTGCCGTCGAATCGTTGAAAGTTATCATCAGTAGATAAAAAGTGTGTGGACGTATGGTAGACCGCATATGATATATAGGAAAATGTGTGGTAGATGATAAGTGTACGGTAGACCGCATACGACAAGAATACCATAAAATGGTTGGTATATATATTATATACATAAACATAATATGGAAATCTGTCATCAGAGAAAAAAATAAAAGACGACTGTCAATAATAGGAAACACTCGTTGGTATAAGCTTGCCATTCGTTTCGGTTAATGGAAGCCAAGAGAAAATAACTTTATTATTTTAGTATTTAATAATAAAACATAGAATAATATTGTACATAGTATCATCATTATCGAATTGTTATCTAAATTTTATCAACATGGTTTCAGGTTTATTTTTTTTTTTAAAGCTCGCTTTAGAAATTTTAAACTTGAGACTAAAAAAAAAATGCATTCAATATTATGATGTTCCGATTTGATGATTTTAAAATCTGGCAACTCTACGTTGGTGGTGGTCCAAACAAAAAGCATTAGAGCACATTTTTGGAAATGAATATAGCTGTTATTAAGACATTTAATTCTATTGAATTATTAGAATAATTATTCAATTCTGATATTAAAGTAAAAGCTACAAATTTTTAAGAATCCCTCTAAGAGATGCCATACCTGCATTGTTGTCTCTATCTTACTAATATGTAAAATCAGATGCTTATGATTTTATAACTCATATAAACAAAAAATTTTATGAAAAATATGATACTGACATTTATATACAGAAAGAATTCCAAAAATTATAAACTGTCATCATAAAAAAATAATTGATAAAATAAATTAAGATGGACTAATATTATGTTTTAAACAAAATTTTACTGTTGAAGTTTATGTATAATTTTGGATCAAACAATAAACTTTTATAAATTTTCAAGAAATTTATTTTAGTATAAAGATCTAAACATTTTGTCTTCAAATAACTTTGAAGATCTACAAAACATACTTACCACCAAATGAATTAAAAAAAAAAAAATGAATGAAACTATATACAAATTTAATTCTGATATATATAAAAATTATGATAAGACTCAGAGCAGGATTTCAACATTTTTGTAAAAATTAAACCATATTAAAACATCTATTACCAGAAACATTTACAATTGAAAGAGGAGAAAGTGACTTTGACTATGATTCGAAAGCCAATGATTAAAGTACTGCAAATAAGTTAAAATGCAAATCCTGTAAAAATTGTGTAGTATGCAGCTATAATATTCTTATGAAATATAATTTATATAGTGATACATACTATTAGTTGTCAAAAAAATATCAATACTTTTTGATATTATCATGCACTCAAGTATGTATATTATATATAATTAGTTTAATTTAATATAATTTTATTGAATCATATCCAGAATAAAAAACTTAAATATTAATAATTATTTTAGGTAGCATGCGAAAGATTATTTTTGATTTTAGAAGTAATCAAAAATTGACTAAGAAATTCATTGTGGGAAGAAAAGTTGGATGATATAATAGATTTATTAAAATAAAAACTTTAATATTAAAAAATTAAGTTTACATTATGTGTATTGTTTATATATACATAATTAAAATTTGTTTTTATATAAAATTAATGATAATATTATAAACACAACACTACCTTGTTATAAGATAATATTTATAATTTATAATTTTTTTTATTTTACCTAGTTGTAATTTTGTACTTCTAATGATTGAAAAATTAGAAGATCTAATTTAAAATAAGAAATAAAAATATGATAAAATATGCTGGACTGCAGGAGAATTTTGAATAGAAAAAAAAATGAAATGTTAAATTAAGAGTGAATGTAACTAAATATTGGGCTAGTTGAACTGCGATTTTTCCCTCCAGTCTGCTATTGAATATACTCATAAGTAAATTTAAATAGATAGACACACAATATTTTTCTAAATCTTAATGAAATATTTTATGTTGAATATTAATATTATAAATTATTCATAAAACAAAGCAAGATAAAATATACAGTATATAAATTGAGACCCATAAGATTTTTTTTTTTTGCGTATGGCACTCATAAGATAGTCGATCTTTACAGATTGTACCAGGATGATCTAAATAACACTGAAGCAAATTATTAATGTAACCATTATCCACGATTATCATACTAATATATTACCAAACCATAACAACTTAGATTAATTCTAGGTCCACAACTATTTTGAATTCCTCATATTCTAAACACAAATAATGTAACTGATGTTTTATCCATTTCTCGTTATAGATAGTAATGACATTATAAAACTTAGCAATATTTTAACTGCCAATTTTGAACAAATCAAAATCAAAAATATCAAAAATGTGGAAGTCGATTACAAGTAGAATTGACGACAAATACAAACCGGTTTACAGAATTTTTATCGCTTCACTAAATCAATCGTTACATTATAAATAGAAAACGTTTATATTTCTATGCTGTGTGTGTGTTAAACAAAGAAAAAAATCACTACTTCCAATTAATTTGACAACCAATTTGAATGCCTAAGTGAATTAATCATGATAGTAGACTATAACTTTACCGTACAGATACCAAACCACGTGAAAAATAAAAATAATTTCTTAAACTGTAATAAGATATTTTTAAATGTAACTACAATATGAAAAAGTACCTGTACAAAATACATATACAAATATTAAGCGGCTGAGAATAATTACCTGTTTGCCCGCGAAAAACAGTCGTTGGTTTTCCGGTTTGACATTGAACTTCATCTCGACGAGTGTCTTCAAGTCGCTGATCTTTGTTGTCCTAGACGTGGGTATTGCGATGGATACGCCGGTGTTCATCATCCTTACTACCACGTGCATGGCGACGGCGTTGTTATTCGTACCCAACGATACGTCGGTACCTAGTACGTAGGATAACAGTAGGCGACTGTAATAATACAATAATGTGATATGTTTTAGTTTCACGTTTTTGTACTTTTGCTACGGCAAGAAAAACGAAAGCGCGCACACAATCAACAATCGCTAAATACTTACTAATTACTATTGTAGTATTGTACAATTGAATAAAAACCGTTAATAACGACGGCGAAAAACTTGAATCACTAGAAGTTAGGAATTTGCCGCAGAAGGTGAGACGACCAATCAAAAACGGGATAACGGAAGTCGAGTCGTAACGGAAAGGGCGATAGATGTCAGCACTGCGGATCCGACTGACGACGCGTGTGAGTGCGTGAGTGTTATTGTCATTTTATCTCTGATGCGGCAAACGATTAGCCGCCTCGTTATAAATATATTCGAAAAACCCGAAAACGGTATCGACAGGCGACGAGTGACGACCGGCAATCGGCAATCACTAGAGCGGTTTATGTTGTGGTGGGATGAGGTATGATACAAGCGACATGATACTTATCGATATTATAACAATACAACATAGTTTAACGGATTTCGTACTGAAATCACTAATTAATAATTATTATTATCATTCACATTTCACATTTTCACACACATACTCAAAGATAAATATACAATAATATATTGTAACACCTATTTACCGCGGTAAATAATTTGCAGCTTACCACTAGGACACAGCATACATACATTATACATTACACGAGAATTGTTTTGTCATATTATTGTAATAAAAAATAAATATAAAATATAAAAATAATTACACATCATTTTTAACTTTTTTTATAGTAAAATAATCAACCTAATCTCAATAAAATATGTTGTTTCTTCTAATTAATATGAATTAAAAGTTAAAATATTGCAAACATAATTTCAATGATATTACACGTTGGAAAAGAAGTATATAATATATTTATAAAGTTAAACCGTTAAATTTGTCCATTGTTGTGAGTATTTAATTTTTTACTAAGAAATAAATGTTTTTCCACTATCACCTTTGATAATTATACCGTGCTTAAAGTCTTAGTACAAACATTACATTGTATATTTATTACAATAAGTTTATAGATCTATGATTATAACATCAATGGGATGGCTTGAACAAAACATTGAATTAAATATTGGATAAAATTCTACACGTGTATTAATTATGCATAACATTGAATTGGAAGATTTTGCATTTTTGCCCATATACGATGAGAAAATAAGGCATAATTCATGACATAGTTATTCATTAAATAAGTTGTATATTTATAACTTCAGTATTATTTGAAACATTACATCATCTTAAATATTCAAATACAATTGCGTTTTTACTTTATCTGAATTCCGAGATGAGAAATGACAAATCAAAAATTTGTCTATCTTAAAGGATAGGCGATAGCAGAATGAATTGCTTTTTAAAAATTAACGAGAATACGTTGTAAGTATAACGTCACATTACACGCGTTTAAATGTTACGCGCCCTCATCAGTGTCGTTTGTTCAAATTACCGCGATCATAAATATAACGCGTGTAAAAATTACCATGCTAAAATTATGGGTCACCTGGATACATATATAAAAAAAAGCATCATGAAATATACGTATAGAGATAGTAGGCTAACATTTAAAAAAACTGTCTTCGTCCAAAATTGTTTTTCGTTTTTCGTATACAATTATAAACCTATAGAGTTATCATTGAATTCAAATTTAACACGCTCATAATAGTTACCATATCGTCACCTAATGTGCAGCAGAGCGGTATCCACTTGAATACTTTTGTAATAGTCAATACTTCAATAGTGTGTATTGAAAAATTTGATAAAAAATGTTGGGGCTCTCTTAAATGCACCATCAATGAACCATAATTTCTGATTTAGCCAATAATTTAGAATTCTAAATGCATAGTTTAGGAAAAGCTAATATTATTATTTTGACAATCGTTAATAAATAATATATTTTCTCCTCAGTTCGATATGATTTATAGATTTTTAATTATTTTATAAATATTTTTAAATAGATTTTAGGAATTTTGGTAAAATATTAGTTCGAGTATGGTACCTACATATTATCATAATTCACAAATACAAGAAACAAGAAGTTAATGTTTCCTTACGCATCTTAGTGTGAATTAGTTTTTATGATCTCTCGTACACAACTATACATTTTCTTTTTAAAATATTTATCATTTTTTGTCTATTAGGATGGGCATTTTAAGTTTTTTCTGATCATGATTAATTTTGCATTGAATTATTTCAGTAAGATTATTAATTTGTAAAAAAGACTTAGATACATCAAGTTTTAGTAGGTATGTGTCCATCTCTAAAAATCACATTTAAATATTTTATAAAAATACAATTTAAAATTATTAAAAACGTTTTATTCTTCTCATTTGTCATTTACCTACTCCATAGTGGTATAGTGAACTGAAGACATTTGACTAGCAACTAAAGGTGTAAAATTATTGTATTACCTACTATTTTATCGAATCTCATGAAAAAATTAAGTGTAATTTGGAAGTTTTATGTGAAAATAATTGTGTAATAGTATATTTATACGAATCGTTTTAGTAGAACTATCTACTAATTAAAGATGGTCAATAAGATAGATGGGTACAATGATACAAAGATACAATGATAATAGTTATGGCTCTACGCACAACGTACATTTTATCTCAACATGATAATAACAATTGGTAAAATTTACTAGTATTTACAAGCGATTCACCAGAAAATAAACGCAAGTCTATAACATGGAATGAATCACCTTGGAAATCCAAAAAAACATTTATTAAAAGTTATACAAGATATTTATTAGATTGTTATACAATTAATGATGTGCATATAAATAAATTTTGTATTTAATTTTTTTATACTCTTGTTTGTCTTAAGTACCTACTAATGAAATATATAATTTATTTCTCACATTTAATTAAATATTTTAACTAAAATATATTATATGTTGTAATTTACTTGCATATTTTTTTTTTCATTGGTGAATATGGTGATAGTAGGTCTAGGAATTTAATGACTTAAAAAATATACAAAAATGCATTTAAGAAAATGCAAAAATCATCTAAAATCTCTAAGAAATTAACTTATAAATGACAAAAAAATATACTTAGAGCGAAAAAATTTAATTTTAAAATAATTATTATTATAAATTATAAACTATTATTTATTCATTTCTTATACTACGCAAAATAGGAAAAAATTGTTTTAAGAAGTAAATCAAATTTGAGTTGATAATTAATTATATTACTTTTTCAATATTCAATAGGTATCAATGGATTGGAGTAAATAATTGGGATTACTTATACAACCCATACTAAAAAAAAAAAAAGCTTAAAATAAAGAAAAATGAGTTTAAATACACAAAATTAATGTAATATTTGTAAAAATTACTTTAAAAATTGAATAAAAATCTGCGCTCTAGTTATTATTTATTATACGTTTAGTCTTTAATAAGATAAAATGTGTTCATAGATTCTCATACTTTATAGCCTTATTGGTGAAATTCGTTTATGTTTTTAGCAAATTTTTAATTTATTTAATATTTCTTCTGGTGTTACTTGAATATTTTTATTTATATGTAACATTACTAAGCCGTTAAGTCTTTGTTGGCCCATTGTCGATCCTAAATAAGTTTTAATCCTTTTTTTAGAACTGAATCAGTATCATTATTAGGTATATGGTATGACACTAAGAATTATTAAAATTAATTTAATGTTAGGAAATATAGATGCATATAAACATATTTAAAAGCTTCTATTGAAGAATTAACCTTTTCTGGCTTATTTTTTTTATTGAAGTAGTGTCAGTGGACACTTCCTTTTATCAAGCTTATAAGCTTATACGTTATGTGAATACCTCACAGTTATAAAAATGTACCAACTTATTGTATTAATAATATAATGTACACAGATGTCAGATTGTAATTATTCTTTCATAAAATAATAGTAAAAAAAAAAAAAAAAACTATGCAACGTAAAAAAAATATTGTTATCAAATCTTATCTATAGTTATTTATTAATTATAATCTTTATAAATTTATAATAAACACGCAAAAAATGTATATCATAAAATATATAATTAAAATTGTATTATTAAATTTTTAGATCCTTATATAAATACTTGTAAAATCATTATACTTATAAAGACCTAACTAACATATCTATTTCCAAATAAACATTTGGCAACATATACAATTGAAAACTGCACAGTACCTGCATTGTATAGTCGTTCTTTGTAGTTATGAATCATGATTAAGTATGTTTTAAAAAATAATTGTTTTAATAAACATGAATATTATAATTTAAATGATCTATAATACATTTTATTCAACAGAAATAAAAATTGTGTATAGTATGATATAAATGTATAATTAAATAAAATGATTATTATAGACATTAAATAAGTACAATAACGATTAGCTAAGCTCTTCATACTCAAATATTTAATCATAGTTACTTATAGTTAATGAAAATATTACATTATTTATCTTATAATTTTTTATTGAATATTGTAGAATTTGAACATAATAAATATTTATTAACGAGAAACACAAACTGGTGGTAAATATTTTTTGGCGTAAATTACGAATCTTACTTTACTCCATGATCGATCATTCAAGGTGTTTCATTCTCATACACATTATTTGTATATCATAATAATCACAGATATATACTAATACTAGATAGCCGTCTTTGTATACACCGCCGCAAAATAATTGAAACCGACGCCATATGCAAAGAATACAACTCGGTAAACAAACGTTATCAATATTAGACTTTTATCAGTATAATACATATTATTATATTATAGACATTTATTTATATCATTGTATTACTTAGTACTTACCTATATTTTATTAATTCTCACTTTTTCAGTTCTCTGTTTTATAGTATTAGACAAAACTGTTAATTAACCTATACAGTATGTATTTATACTAATCTACGTAAATTTGGGATATAACTAAATTGTAATGTTTTATGAATTATGAAATATGAAATAAGGAAACATTGTCAAAAATACTAGGATATAAATTACAGGTACTACCTTATTATAATTACTTATATTATTAACAAAAATAACAATTATTAAACAGTAGGTAATACAAATATAAGTAGGTAGGCACTACTATTTACCAACAATAAGTAATTTATTATTCAACTAGAATACTGAACGACTGAACAGAATATCATAATATTATTTTGTTGTTTACTAAGTGATAACGTTTGTTTACCGAGAGTATTCTTTGCATATGGCGGCGTGTTTCACTGATAACAAGAAGACGGCTATCTAGTATTAGTATATATCTGTGATAATAATAAATCATGATATTTATTGTTAAGCCATCGTCGACATGGAGTAAACAACATTACCTTGTAGATTCAACCTAACCTGTTATACGTTAACATTGCTCGTTTCGTTAGCGCGATATTCGTAATTGAAAACATTTGCCGTTTCAACAATTGACGCTCGAATCGATTCCAGTTATTAGTAGTCATCGAATGCAATTTTTTCAAAGTAGTAAGTACATAATATGTCAACTCTGCTTACCCGCATTTAATGTTCGACTTCAAGATTAACTTCGATCGACTGCTGAAATTCGACTTACATGTGTGAGCGGAACGGATGCGTTGCCAGTTAAGACAGCATTACCGGTTTACTTGCTTGTTTATATGTCCGAATGCCCGTCTACGAAGTGCCCAAATTTCGTTGTCTCACGCAGAATGAGACGGGCATATTATTCTGGTAGCTGTGTGTTTGATTGTCGATAAAAACTGTTAAAGCTCCATTGAAAACTCGATTTCTGTTGACATGAGGTTCTTCTAGAGACGCTTTGCACGATTTTCGCCTTTCCTGACAGAGTTGATAGTTTTAATTTTAGCTAATGTAAAACAGTAGCATAGTATGATCTGAGATTGGAACTTTTTTACTATCAATCCGAATAAACAGATATAAAATGGAATTTTATAACAAAGTTTTTGATTCTTTGTTTAGAGCCAAAATTAATATATTCAATATTTGTATTAAAATTGTTTCAACCTTCACAAACTAGTGTTATAGGCTATAGTAAACATTTGAATAATATAATATTTGTATTACATTTTAAGATGGACGACCAGAAAATCTTGCCAGATGTTAACCCTAAAGCATATCCTTTGGCTGATCAGCAGTTGACCAAACAAATTTTAAACTTGGTTCAACAAGCAATGAACTATAAACAATTACGTAAAGGAGCAAATGAAGGTTAATATTGTAAAAAGTATTTTTAGTTGATAATATGCTAACAGTGTTATAAATTTTAGCCACTAAAACTTTAAATAGAGGTATTGCTGAGTTCATAGTTTGTGCAGCAGATGCAGAACCAATAGACATTTTGCTACACTTGCCTTTGTTATGCGAGGACAAAAATGTGCTATATGTTTTTATTAGATCAAAACAAGGTTAGTATTTTAAATTAATAATTTATAAAAACTTATCAAATTCACATATTATATTTTAACTTTTTTACAGCATTAGGCCGAGCATGTGGTGTTTCAAGGCCAGTCATAGCGTGTTCCATTACCACTGATGAAGGTTCACAATTACGGTCTCAAATACAACAAATTCAAGCTGAAATTGAGAGACTTATGGTTTAATTTTGTACACATTTTAACATTTGTCATACTGAATTGGGAATATTAATAATAATAATATTACATCATTTAAATGTTTAAAATATGTTATTATTTTGTAATCATCATGTTTAATAATATGATTTATTAATAATATACATTTTCTTATAATGGATATCAATGAAGTTTTACCTAACACAAAGTGGTTTTACAAGAATAAAATTAATCTAATGGTACATTATAAAATTAATATTCCTATTCTATTAATGTTTGATATATATTATAATGTATTTATGCATTATACATATCACATTTGTATGTTAAAATTAACACTTTTTTAATTTATAACATAAATAAAAACCATAATTGACTTAAAGTTACAATTATTTTTCATCTGTTCATAGAAAAAAAATTAACCAATTGATTTTAAATACTAATGTTATAATCTAGATTGGTTTATATGATGATATGATAGAAAATTCTATTATAATTGAAAAAAAATAAATGGTTACTATATTAAACCATAAATTAAATATATTTATAAAGTATATTTAATCTATGATTAAACTAAATATAATATCACCGGGTAGATAATTTATACTATTGCTAAAAGATAAATCATTTACTGTTTATCTCCATATAACATCCTGCCTTTGAAATAGATTTGATTAAGAGTGTTGCATGGTGAAGTATAATAATCCTTAAATTTCAAATGTCATGTCGAATAATAGATTATAAATGATAAATGCCACTTGGGAGTAACCTTAATCGATAACTTTAAAAAAACATGAAAGATGGAAATTAATCCAGACATTAAAACCTGAAATTTTATGCTTGTTTACCTGAGTTACAAAAACATTTACTGTCACCACAGTAGTAGTTATTTCACGATTTATAAGTTATAACTATGTAAAATATTACTGTTATAAAATGCTCATAAATGTTATTAATTTAAATTTGTTAGTAGATCAATTCACTTAATAATTAGTTTTGTTGAAGGGCAAACATAAACCTGCAAAGCGGTTCATTGATCAGCAAGCAAAAACAAATAAAGCATTAACATGATATTAAATTATTTAAATATTATAAGATTTATTTGATGTCTTTTGGACTATTGTAAGATGCATTTAACTTATGTTTTTTCCAATTTGGCATCTATACGCCATTTATACAGTAACAACTTTTCCTCTGTATATATATATACATTGCTTTTCGTGGTTATATATTTTAATTTAATTTTGAAATCAAAAAATATAAAATAGATATATAGAATTGTAGTCACAATATAACGGTTTTGAGAAGGACTGTTTTATAAAATAAATAAAAATAGAAAAATATATTTATACATAAATACATGATCCCTCTAGTATTAATAATGTACCTAATATTAGTAAAATTTAGTTATTGAAAACAGTAGTCAATGTAACAATACAAATACAATTGTATTAATTTATACTAAAATAAAAGAATTATAATAGTTTGTTTTGATTTTTTTTTTTTAATATAAGCATTAAGTGTGTTTCATGGGTAACCAGATAAGAAGGTAAGCCAATATAGTTATTAATTATAATCATAATCATCACATTGAATGTTCACTATAATGCAATTGTCAACATTTTAAATATTTATAATTTGAGCGTTTTAGAACTAATAATATTTTGTAATTTTGTTTCGTACCATTATAATTTTTTTGAGATACGTGAATGATCGAAGTAGCTTATCCAACAAGTATGATAAACCTGATCAACACAAGCAGCATCGCATAAAAATTACAAGTACCAATAAGGATTATTAAAACAATAATTTAAATAGAAATGGCATGTTCTGTGACCAACTTAAAAGAAAAGGAAAAATATTGCTTTAATCTCAATAATTTGTTTCAAATAAAAGCACTAAAAAAAAAAATAAATAAATAATCTCGATAATTACTTTATATGATCAGCCAATACCAAAGCAGACAAAAGTGAGGATCTATTTCTAGAATATAATCAACTATAAAGATAATGAAAATACTGATACTATTATAAAACATTTAACAAAATAATGGGCCTTCAGCATCAAATAAAATTTCAAATCAGTTATTGGTAAAAATTTATTTAACAACAATTCACTATTGACATGAAAAAAACTCCCGTGCTACATTTACATTTTTGAGGTTTTGGTGTACTTGAATTCAAAAAGAAATAAGTTATGATCTGATAATATTTTCATTATGCTGTTTTCACTGAATTAATAAAAAGAATAAATAATTCCTATATTGTGTTAAAACCTATTTTAAATTATTTATGAAATACTTTTTGTGATTAAAACGCTAATAATAATATAATATGAACTATCATTCAGATAACCTTCAATGTAAGCTTAGCAAAAACATAAACTATAATAAAATTTCCAATACAAAAAATATTGACAATTTATAAAATAATTCCACATAATTAATTTTGACTTCAATAATTTTTTAAATTACGTTTGATGAAACTGAAAAACTAATTTCTGAAGATTAATGATGATTTTTATTATTATTTTAAGCATTTTCTTAAAAATTGGGTTTTAGTAAATTTGAGTTTTTATGTGTTAATAAAGATTTGTTGATTACATTTAATTTATATAACTATTTGATTTTAGATGCAATCCGGAAATTGTGTGGTTAATTCTACACTATTTAAAGTTATTAAGAAATATTACAAATCAAGGTAAACTGAAATTATTGCTTTTCAAAAACAGAACTAAAATTAAGAGAATTAGAAATGTTGGAATATAAATTAACATAAATATTAATTTGTAATACAAATCATTGATTTTTTTTTTTTATTTCATAATTTGAAAACAATTCAATTTTCATATTTTGTTAATATTTTTATTTTCAAAAAATTATCACTAAAGGTATTATTTAAAAATTTCATTCAATTGTCAATTAGTATACAATAAATATTTTATTTAAGATTGTGATATCTTAAAAAAAATTATTTAAAATTAATAACAAATAAAATTACTGGGAAATTTAATTGAATTATTATAAAAAATGTTCAATAATTTAATGTTATATTCTGATCATTGGTCATTCATATTTTGTTTTGGGGTCATATCATAATTTAACATTTTATAATTATTTAGCTAGTTCATAACTTTATAATAATATATAAATATAAATATATATATTATGATTGATTTTAAAAATAAAACAATATTTTGAAATCAATGATTACATGAATAATATATATATATATATATATAATACAATTTTGGTAACAACAAAATAAATTTTACTCTGTTTCTAGTTAATTCAACATACATTTTAAAAAATAAAAAAAAACTGAGGTTTAGTATAATATCTAAACAAATAATTTGTAATTGCTATTTAAATTTGCACTGTTACAGATAATGAAATTTGTGATGTAGACGAAAATAATTTTAGGCAAGTGCAAATTTGTGGAATCATAGATTGATTTTAGATTAATACAATTAAAAAGAACATTTTTATCAATTACAATGTATTACTTATTATTTAGTCCAACCACGCCACATCGAGGCTAAACTGGCTGCTGTACTAGCTACAAGTCCTGCTCTAACAACACTACTAGCAGACTGTAAAGACAATTGAGTATGATCTGCAGGGTATTCAACATTTGGTACCTTAAAAAACAAAAATATAAACATTTAACAAATTAAAAATTTAATTTGTCAGTAATTTTAAACTCACAGCTTCCCATTCATAATAATTGTCTTCTTCAGAGTCCGAGTCTCCAGTAGATGAAAATAATTGAAAAGTTATCTTTTCTTCGAATGCAGTGCATAGTTTACTATCAATGTCTGGTGGATCCACCCTAAAAAAAAAATCATATTGTAACAATTAAAGATTTAATTCAAAATTGTACTTGAATAAATATTATTTATAAATAAGTAAATCAAAGTATTAATTATTTTGTTTAAAGTTATTTGATTACTTAATGTTAAATATTGATGGTTAAAAAATTTTTTAATGTTACCTTCCTAGATCACTAACAGATGTATCCAATAGTAGCAGCAAATTTTTTAATGTATGGTCAGGATGTAGTAATTTAGGATCAACATTTTGTGAAAAGCACAAGTAAAGAATGTTAGCATTCAAGTGAGTAACATATTTTGCAAATTTTGTTTCATTCAGCTCATTACCACAAAATTCACTATAAATATATAAATATTAAGTAATATACTTCAATTTTGAGGTATATAGTGTATGTTTACCGATTACAGTACCTAAAATTTGGACGCCTAGGTAAAAAAACGTCTATAAAAAAGGAAAGTTGCTTTACTAACTGCGAGGTATATGTAAGAGCAGCACTTATTGTACATGCAGGATTTGGTTCAACAAAAGTTTGATGAGATGCATAATCCCTATTCTTATCTGAAACTGGAAAATAAACAAAAATGAAAAAAGTGTTATTAAACTGTACTATTGCTTAAATATATTAGATACATTTATTTTAAATATAAACCCCATTCATTATATGCAGAGTAGTCTCCATTTGCTGGAAGAGTGGGTGCTACGATGCGGTATCCAAGTTCTGTTTGTCTCGACCATTCTTCACAAGTATCTACCCATTGACCGCATACATATGTCAGTTTTGAAGCTTCCGCTAATGCATGACTTAAACTATTATTACTATTATTAGCATCCAATTCTTCATTCCTATCACCAAATAAAAAATATAACTCATTTTAATTTTGAACAAAGTTAATCAAAGTATTGTAAAACTACTATTAAAACTTAGCTAATAATTAGGATGCAACCACCAGAGTAATATTCAGTTAAAAAGGAATTTTCATTGTTGATTTAATGATTATATATAATAAAAAGAGTCAAAAGGAGTAACTTGATGACAGTGGCAGATTGAACGATCGAGATACCAAGAAATTTTCCGGTGAGCTGCTGCTCGTATAAAATAAATATTTATTAATATTATCATTGTGAAATTATAAATTAAAATATTATCTAATAAGTAATAAATATGTAAAATTATTATTAAATATAAAAACCCAAATTTCTGATTATCTTAAAATACGGGACCGTTTGTATTACTGAGGGTCTTTAAAATTATGATTTTCCAG